TAGCTCTCTGCTGAGTAATTCCATTTGAAAGCAACCCTGAAAGCAATATGTATGTCATAGGTGAAAATATGAAACTCAGAGTGAAGTACTTGTCCCAAGTTGGAAAAAGAATGAGTTTCTGACGGGATTCCCGTGTCACGAACTGTGCACTTCAATAAGCAAGGCGAGAGTTTAGGAGGGGAATGTCAAAACAACAGATCTAAACCAGAACAGACGTGGAATCAAGTCCTTCAGTAGGAGGACTTGTGTCTGTGTAAATACTCAGTACGGCTGTGCCTGTCTTAAATAGAAAACAAGATTATTGAGACAGAGAAGAGGGAGAAGCTAACGGCTGTAAAGGGAACAGGAAGGCTGCATACTCCCAAACCAGGAAGAGAATCAGGACTCATGAAGAACACAGGCAGAGAAGAAAGTGAGCATGTGTAAGGGGTTGGGGCTGTGGAGAAACAGAAGGATTTAGAGGGGCCTGTGCAGAATGGGGCACCCTGGCTTGGGTCCATCCATGGCAAGCCTTTTTAATACTCGGTGAGAGGGGGAAAGAACATTCCAGCATTATAGAATGCACTTCCAGAGGAATGACGGTGATAGGACTGGGAGTCCACAGAACAGTGGAGTCATTCTAGTGTCCAGGAATGAATTACCACGCAATCATGTTTGGTTTGGTGCTGGAGACACATGCTACGTACAACAACAGATTAAAAACAACTAGAGAAATGGCAGAGTTGGTAAACCGCTTGCTGCAAAACCATGAGTGCCTGAGTTCGATCCCCAGCGCCCACATAAAAAGCTGGGCACAGTGGTGCATACCTGTAAGCCCCTGGGAGGGCAGAGACAGAGGAATCCCTGGGGTCATTGGCCAGCCTGTCTAGCCTAATTGTCAAGTTCCACATTCAATGAGAAGCCCTGTTTCAAAAAATAAGGTGGAGGGCAGAGGGCAAAGCACCTGCCCTTAACCTCTAGCCTCAATATGAACTCACACATGTACATACGGGCACCTGTACAACTGGAAAATGTCTAAAACCACTTAGAGTTTACCTTCTAACCCTCAAATGGCCAATTCTGCTTCCCTTTTGTTAATTCCAACATTATTGTATTCCAGGGAGCAAATCCAGTCTTCTGCATCAAATCCATCTTCCTTTAAATGTACACACACACACAGTTCTCTCTAGTATCTTAAGGCCCCAGTGCAAGGCTGATAAATTACTTGGAGACCACACCTTGACCCTTGTTTCCAATCTGTTGCCCAACCCAGCTCCACACCATCACCGGCACCTGCTTATTAACCTCCCATACATGTGAGCACCAGCCCTTCCGGCTCTCTCAAACACTCTAGCTGTCCAGTCTTTCTATCTCACAGCAAGTCACCTTTAACCTTTTATGAAAACAGTAAACTCCGCAGGCTACTTGCTGAAATCTCAGTGGGGAACACGGAGCTGTTTGCACCCGTAGCTCACCGTTAATTGGCTGTGCCACATTCAGCAAGTCACTTCCCATCTCCAGCTCCCCTAAGTGTGTCCACCACCACCGAGAATAAGGGTGTGAAAATACAAAGGTCTTGGGAGTTTTTTCAGCACCGATAGTGAATAATCTTCACACTCCCATCACAAGCTGATCTTAAGAAAACATCCAAGAGCTAGCTGGATGAGTCCCATCCTTTTCTCCCAGGCCTGCTTACTCCTATGGTGGCCTACAGTTTCTCTGTGACCCTGCTCTACCATAGCTAATGGTCTGTTGATCTTGGCTCCCTTCCCTGAACAGTCTGAACTCTCTCCGTGGTGTTTGGGAGCCCCTCCGTCTGTGAGCGGATCTAGAATTTCCATATTAGTGCACACACAGACCGGTTCCTACTCCCAAGTTTCCATTTGCATTGTTCAGGGATAGTTGCCTCTGAAAGACTCAGGTAAAGTGCCAGGAAAGTATTTATCTGCTCACTGGTGTTTCATTGGTGGCCAGACTTGGCCCTTCCCTGTTTTGAGTTCTGCCCCAGGCGCATGACTCATCCACCAAGCAGCAGGAATCAGCAATTGCCACCCTCACCAGTTGGGAAAAACACAGCAGCGCCTTTCCTCCCCAATCCTCTGTTCACTGCCCACTGCCTGCCCAGAATCAACCACCCCTGTTCACCAGTTGTCATGTCTTTTTGTAACGTTCTGTGGCAATTGCAGACTGGGCAGTCTCACGAGGAAGGAGCTGGGGAAATGTCCACGCCAAAGTGTCATTTTAAAAATTGGCAGGTTGGAAAAAAAAAGAAATGGGTCCAAGGCTATTGAGCATACAGAATGTTTTAAATCTGAGCAAGAAGTTTATCTGAATTCCAGGCTGAGTTTGGCCCATCTCTCTAGTTTACTTGCTTGTAACCTTTGACCTCCCCACACATCTAGGTTCAGAGTGAGAAGATTACATTCAACTGCTGGCTCTGGTCCCTACAATCATGCAGCTTCTGAGTCATGTTTACAGCTAATGTGGCTTTAGGGTCACTGGTCTGTGCTGGTGATAAAGCCAAGTCATCACCACACAAGATATTTACAGAGAGGCCTGCGGCCACGTCCAAACATGCACAAGTGTCTTACTTGGGTCATAGGGAGGTAGATTAGCAGGGAGTAGCTGTCTGTAAAGGGCTATTATACCAAAACACTGGATTTCTACAAGTTGATCCCCAAAACAATTCATAATGGAAATACCACTAACTACTTAATGACATAATTAAATACAAAATAAGGGAAGTACCACTAAAAACCACACAGACTATGTGGGTACCTCAACAGAATAAAAACTGCAATCAAGTGTACTTCTGGGAGATAGATACATGTCATAGGAAGGAAGTCAGTACATGTAAGCTTTTTAGACTTTAAGATTTTTAAATAATATCTACCACAAAGTTTAATTTAAAAAAGAGACTGCCGTGGAGCTGAGCAGTAGAATGCTTGCCTGTCAATCAATGCTCTATCAATCAATGCTCCAGATTTGATCCTCAGAACTGAAAGAAAAAGGGGAAAAAGTCCCCACAGGCTGATTTTATCAAAAATCATTCTAAATAACTAAGATAGTAAGTAATAAGCAATGAAAATCCTAAGCTCATAGTTATCCGTAAGTGAAAGTGGGTGGCAAGCATGTCAACTTTTAATGAGCAGCTTACTACACAACAGGAATCAGTAAAAATGACCCACTTCAGTGTGGACAACTATACAAAGGAACCAATTCAGTAGACATTTACTTGATTCCAAGCTCCATGACCGTTAGAGTTCAGACCTATTAGCAGGCCTGTGCACAGTGATGTTTGCCATGCATCGCTTTCTTAGAAAAGCAACAAAAAGCGGAGTGGCATCGATGTTTCAAACGTGGTTATTTAACACTATCTCATAAGCAATTGCTGGGCTTCTAAGCCACTGACATCACTCGGGACTGATGCAAACTCTGAAGTAAACTCTTGAAATCTGGAGGTGACAGTCACTGGGTCTACATATACATTATTTCCCCCAAGTTCAAAGTCAGTAGAAAATTCAGTAACTCACCCAAAGAGAGATTACTCACGTCTAGTTTTTCTTTTTTTAAGCAAAGATTTAAATTAAGAACCATCTGGTATGTAAAAGCCAAATGTCTTTTGGTTTTCCAGATTAGATAAGAATAATCCAGTGTATATATATTACATAATTAAAGAAATGTATTAAGAATAGGCAACTGGGTGGTGGTGGCACATGCCTTTAATCCCAGCACTTGGGAGGCAGAGGCAGGTGGGTTTCTGTGAGTTTGTGGCCAGCCTGATCTACAGAGTCAGTTCCAAGAAAGCCAGGGCTACACAGAGAAACCGTGTCTTGAAAAAAAAAAAAAAGAAAGAAAGAAAAAAAAAAAACTTACAAAGGCATCTTAAACCCTCAATAACTTCAAGCAATAAATCAGTCGGACAACACCGACACCTGCCTGTATATCCACCATGAGGAAATGGTGTACTTCTTTACCGCTGAAGAACTAGAGAACTTGCCTGGAAATTGCAACTCTCTTTGTGTTGTATGGCCAGTATTCAAATGCTACTTATACAAACAGTTTGGAATGCAATTACCACAGCCATTAATAAGAATCTGTCATTAAATTGTTAAATTACATATACACATGGCAAATATATCACATGCTAAAGTCATTTTTATTGACCAGACTATGAAACTGTGAATCTCTCAACTTAGCTTCCCTAAGACTATCCCTAGTTTAGATTTATTGCTCATTCTGTCTCAAATAAAATATTAGTCTATTTTAAAAAGAGGTAAACAAGCTTATATTTTAGCATGACTAAAAAGGCAATGTGCTGTCAAAAGTTAATACTACTATATCATCACTACCAAATTTTATTTCATTTTTACTTTTATAAGAACTTAAGTCATAAGAATAAACAATCGAATGGCTAAGAACTATAGTGATCCTCCTTAAAAGATGGCAGAAAGGATGTCATGTATTGTCACATGAGGATGCTAAACAAGAAAAACAATTACGGTGACATTCTTCAACTGAGAAGGCCACGTTAAAGGAGACAGAATGATCCATCTGGACAGGACTTTGCAGCGTGTTGATCGGGTGCTGCAGTTTATGTTTAAGGATTTGGGCTGATTGGCTCATGCCAGTATGCTAACTGGATTCTGGGACTCTTTCCCCTGACTTTCACAAGCCGGAATACCTAGGCTGACAACTTCATAGCGAGTCAAGTCATAGCAGAAAGTCATGAATGGTCTAAAGAGCTAAATCCACCCAAGTTAGCTTATTTGTGCCTACGGGTATGGTAAACTATTTGAAGAGGCTCTCATTACCCACCAGTGCCTTTTAATACCTTCTACAAGCTCTGAACAAGCAGAGCCGCTGCTCAAGCTCCTAGGGCTCTGTCGAAGCAGTCAGTAGCTGATATTGTCTATGCACCAGTTTGGTCTTCAATGACACATCACATAGGCTGGAGTTCTTAAAGGATTCTGCATTGTGAATCTTGTTCAGTGAGTGCGGAGTGGTCTGAGAAGAAAACACTCAGAGAAGTGCCAAGTTTATTAGAGTGAGAGAATGCCACCCTCACATTGCCACCAAGAAACAAAGACCTCAGGGGCGCATGCACTGAGGAGAATCTCTAGATCCGAAGACACCCTAGAGGTCAGCAGGTCCACCTCCCCACCTGATGTGCTATTCCCATTCAACCCCACTCTCCAGTGGGCTGAGGTCCATCTGGTAACATATGTCCACAACCTCACATCTGGCCAGCTCTGAATCTGCACTGTAGCAGCAGATGACGTACAAGCGCCATCTGGTAGTGGGAAGTACACCACCTAGGCTCAGGCCCCACAGTCCCTTTTCCTTCAAAAAAAGGATCCCAGAATCCAGTGTGAAGTCACTCAATATTCCCCACCAAGCACAAAATGAAAGAAGTACTAGAGCAAGGGACTGAGTCAGTCCTTGGGCTTTCAGAAGGCAGAGTTCCTGGTCAGCCTCCGTAGCAGGTCCCTGGGGCCAGCCATTTCCAGGAATGCTTGTTCATGATCTTAGAAGACTCTTTCCCAAGAACAGTTAGACTTGCTGTTGTACCAGCTGCAGTTTGGCAGTCTTAACTCGATGGGCCTCTTTGAGGTTCTGTGCACGGACTTCTGAGTTGGAAATAAACTCTACTTGTTGGACGGGGAACCAGCCTTGCTCCCCATCTGAGAGTCTCACACCCTCCAGCCAGCCTGCAGTCCACAGGAAGAGGAAGGAAGAATTAGCTGCTAAGGACCCATGCTAACTTGTTGGACCTCCTGGCTGAAAATTAATCTACATCCTAAGACTGAATGAACTAGGATCCTCCAGCATGAAAAACCCAGCCTTGCAGGGTATGGAAATGGCTGCCCTAGGTCTGCTGATGTCTACAGCCAAACATTCTGGGTCCTTCTTCACTGCTATCAGTGGAATTTTGTCCATCAAAGTTTTTGGCACCTACCTCAAAATTTGCTCTTACTTGGGAATGAAACTACTGCAAATACAATTAATGAATTTATACCAAGGCCACCCTGGAGTCTGTCAACCAATCGGAATCAGTCTCCATATAGAAAGGATAATTTATATGCACAGAGAGAGAAGAGCCCACAAGGCTGGAGTTATGCAGCCACAAGCCATTTTGGAGCTGTCAGACTGGGACAAGGTAAAGAAGGACTGTTCCTAGAAGCTTCAGAGGAGTCTGCTGACAGGGACTTCTCACCGCCAGAACCGTGAGAGAATAAATTACTGTTGTTATCAGCTGTGTTCAGTGCTTTGCTGTGGCGGCCCTGGAAAGCTAGTGTACCTCCTGCTGTTTCTGCTGGCCAGCCTCCTGCTCATGGGCTCCCCCTCTTACCATCGCTGCTCTGCTGAGTCACCATCACCACATCCGCCTTCTCTAGTGCCAACTCATCATTCTCTCGGGGCTTGTAGGCGCGGAGACACTGAACCTGTGGGGAATCTTTGGAAAAGAAGAGTGAAGAAAAGTGAGGAGCAGTGACTAGGGCACACATGAGGAACTGTGAGGGAAGTGTGGAAGGCCTCGAGGTAGAGATAAGCATGGGAGTAGGGACAAAAGAAGCCATTGGCCTACACCTTTAATCCCAGCACTCAAGGAGGCAGAGGCAGGTGGATCTCTGTGAGTTTAAGTACAGCCTGGTCTACATAGCATGCCTAGGTCAGCCAGGGCTACAGAGTGAGAACCTAGCTATAAAACATAAAACAACAACAACAACAACAAAAAAAACCAAACAAACAAAAGCCAGGAAAAAAATGATAAACCCAACAAAAACAAAAGAGGTGATTAGAAACATCTTCATCATCTACCAGGGATCAAACAAGCCAATAAAGAAATAGAAATGTGAGTATGGGATCTAATTTTTAAAAATTCTACTTCTGGGGAAGATGACAGGCAAATACCTTGTAACCACATTTAATTTCTCATCATGACAAAACTTGAGGTCCGGCAGAAGACCCAGCTTCTCTCTTAGATGTTCCCTGACCTTTCAGTTTTCAATGGCGGCGTTTGAACTCCTTAGAACTGACGGTTGGAGAGGAACCATGTATCCCTTAACCAACTATTTTATGCATGTGTTTTGCTTTGCTAGGGCAAAGCACAGATTTTGTTCCAAAGGGAGCAAGATCTAGTAAGCTCTGAGCCAAATAAAAGTGACCATGGCCTAGAAGCACAGAGTCAAGTTGCATGAATGACACATTCCACTGTGGAAGAGGTTACTCCTATGGTCCCAGAACAAAAGCAAGGCATGAATCAATGTGTTTGCCAATACACTGGTGAGGTCCTCAGGTAGGCAGGTTATAGCAGAGAGGAAACATCTCTCCTATAGGTTGTAGACACTATCTTAACAGACTTGGCTTTAGGGCTGGTAAAAGTTAATGATTTACTAAGTTTAACAATACATTCCACAAGTCTTAGCTAATGGTCATAAGGATGTCAGGTCAGATACAGTGGTTGATAATAAAGGCTATTATTGTGATAAAAAATGCCACAAGTTAATTTTGGCTCTTGATCTGTGATATTGCATCTTCACAATCACAAATTTCCAGTCAAATGGTCACTAGGATCTTCAGCACAGAACTCAGAACTTAGGTGACAGCTTTTCCAACAAGATTCAAAATTGAAGTCTGTGAATCTCTCATCATTTTCTTCAATGTACCAGTAAGGGACCCCTCTCCTTTAAAAACAGTCTTCTGGCATTAGACTTTCTGGGTGACTTATGTGCCTTTGATTCCTGTTGGCCTTAGTTTCCTCATCTGGAACTGATCAAGATGATCATTTGTTTGTTTGTTTGTATTTGAGACAGGGTTTTTCTGTGTAGCCCTGGCTCTCCTTGAACTCACAGAGATCTACCTGCCTCTGCTTCCTGAGTGCTGGGATTAAAGGTTTGTGCTACCATTGCCCAGTGATCAAGATGATCATTGATCAAAGTGATTCATAAGGAAATTCTAGATGCTTTCTTATGAGCCAGGCAGCATTTCCAGAGATTGGAATGAAGTTCAAGATAACAGAGTTCAGAGAACGTCTGTCCTGGAAGCAATCTATCTCCAATGGGTTTGTCTTTATACTTTGCTTCACTCTTCTGATTTGCAGAAAATAAATAGACTGCTACATTTTTAATAGTACACTGTTTTTTCTAAAACTCAGCATCATCTTCCATCCATAGGAAATGCAGTAAAGTGAAGTAGTCCCCTCCACCCTCTCCACCTACTATAAATGAAGCAAACCAATGGACTGTATGGCAAGCAAGCAGCATTGAGTTCAGCTGGGTTCTCCTAGGTCCTTTTCCAAGGTTCATTACACTCCTTTGTTCTTTTTACCCACAAAAGGCCCAGTGTTCCTTTGCCATGCTCTGGGCTCTGGCTACCCCTGTGTGCTCTGGGTAAGCAATGTCAGCTATCTGGGTGTGGCCATACCAAATCAGTGTTGGTCTTTTCTTGTCCTCCCCATTGAAGCTACACTGTCTCCCCTTGTTTCCCTCTCACATCTTCAATTGGTAAAACTAGGTCAAAATCATAGTGGATAAGACTTAAAGGAATATATATTTTACAAAGAACAAATATAGGCCTAAGGCAGTGAATGTATGAGGTACAGTACTACCAAGGTAAATGACAGTTTTTAAGCAGATGTATCATGTGTTTAAGCTTCTACCACCAGCAATTCACCATGAAATTCTAAGAAAAAGCAATAAACAGGAGACTTTTAGAGTTACCACCCAGTACACTTAACCCTTCATCTCAAGGAGACCACAAATAGACACTACCATTTTCGTTACATCCTTGCTCACCGTAGCACTCAAGCAGGTCCAACTCCTCTCTGGGCATGGCCAAGGCTGAGATCCATCGAAGCTTTTCACTTCTGAAAAAAAAAAGCAAAACAAAAGTGTCATAGCTTCAGTCATAGTCTGGGGACACAGGCTGAGGGCCAGTAATGCGGAAGGCAAGTGGCTACCCTAAAGCCAATAGGATTCTGCCTGGCTGGAAATATGGAATGATCTTATAATACGTGTTAGTGTATCTTGTTTATCCTTCCTTTCTCTCTTCAGGCGTATCTTCAACAAAGAGTCATAAGGTGAACTGTCAATCATACGCATGAACATTTTTCAGTCTGGAAATCATACCAAGCAAAACACTCATCTGTTTAGACATGACCACTCTGCATGACTCTTGCTCCTCACTTACCTCCCTTCAATTAAATATCTAAGATGGAAATTACTGTTTAATAACAAGTAAGCCAAGGAGCTACATCCATTTCATTGTCGTTGTTGTCTACAATGTGATCTCAGCCTAATTTTTGATCATCTGAATGTTTTTCTATTGTCTTATCCTGTTTCCAAATGTACCTAGATTATTGAGAATGACACTTTCACTTTTCCAAAAAGATGCTGCCCAAAGCCCTAAAGAAGAACACAAAGCTACATCGGATTATTTACCTAAGGTAAAATCCTGAATACAAACTCATGTACTATCTTTTCTGTTCCATGGATAGAGAAAGGAACCATTGACCTTACTAGAAATGTCTTCCAAGGGACCAAGCTGAAAAGCACCCACATCATGTGGGGTCTTAAACCACGGAAGTGTTTAATAATTTTACAGACAAGCTTTTCCTGTGTCTCATATAGTACCAGGAAAGCACTGGGTGTTCTTTAGTTTGTATATTATATACCAGATTCTACAGTTATCATTTCAACTCTCAAAACAGTGTGTACATGTGATTGTATTCATTTGTTATTATCATTGGAAAGATTACAACCCATATTTCTTAACACTATAGATTTCTGCTCAATGGAGGACGAAGCTAGGAGATTAAGGAAAAGAAGAAAGCATACAAAGTGTTTTTTATTCACATAAGTGCCCTATAGCCTTGGCTCTGGGTTGCACAGATGAGCTGGATCTCTCACAGATACAACAATCCAATTCTCTGCTCATTCCATGCCAGCTCATCTCCCTCATGATGTCTCATAGAACTTATGATTTTTGAGCACACTGGAAAGCAGATGTTAAGAAGGTGGTAACTTCGCATGTTCAGCCCACAATGAATCTCCTTCAAGTTACTGCTTAGCTCTGGGGTTTTGGGTTTCTCTATGAATGATCCCCACTCCAGAAGTGCTGAGGCCATGGTCTGGTACATCCTCCCCCAACTCCTGTGCCCAGCCCCATCTCACTGAGTCTCAGTGCGGAAGAGGAACTCTGCTTGGGTGCCCTGTGTGTTGTGCAGCAGGAACAGACGGAAGAGGTTCTTGTGAGGTCCATGCAGCTTCATTTCACACTTTTCCCCTCGAATGGAGGAGAATGGAGCATGGTCAAATACCAGGAACCGGCTGCCCCTGCAAGACAGAAAGAAGTCTTTTAAGGCTGATTCTATAGTTTTTGTACTTCATCCACCCTCACCCTCATAGTATTAGATTCAAATTCTCTGCTCTTAGCTTCTACAGACTGCATTCATATAAAACCCATATGAGGGCTTCAACCTGCTCTCAACACGATAATCCCAGTGTCTCAACCAACCATTTATTGCAATAGCGCTATTCTCTACTTTAAGAAGTCGAAGAGATAAGAACCAATGTTAACTTTCTAAGGTCCTAAAGACCAGAGTTTAAGCTCTGAAATTAGCCAAGTGGATACATTGGCTAATATGCTAGGCACAACCCAATGAAGCCATAGATAAACTTATTTAAAAAGATAGTGTTTCTTTGCTGTGGTTTACTCATGTCTATAACATGGGACAGGTCCGGTTCTGTGACTTCATGATGTAATTTGGTAATATTAACCCCCTACTTCTGTTCTCTAAGCTATGACTCATGACTCAGACTGTGAGTTGTCTGAGAAGGGATTCGTTGGCAGCAGGTCATTTGGTGTCCCTCTAGACTTATCCCATTCTTTCATATGCCCTCTGCCCTGGCCTCCCATCCCAGACACTGACTCTCGGGGTCGGGACAGCAATAGACAGTCATTGAAGAGATGCAGATGGACAGGACGAGTGGTCAGTTTCCTCCTCAGCCCTGGGGAAGCACTGAACTCAAGGGCTGTCAGCTCCCCACTCTTCACCAGCCATCGAGATTGGGAAATAAGCGGGAAAATCTACAGATTAGGAAGAGAAAAAAGACAGGTCGTGAGCTTCCTCTCAGTCCTGCCCAACCAATCGACCACCAATTCCAGATCTTCCCTCTTGCTATTAACCAACCCATCCAGATTCTGTTGTCTCTCGGAACCCTCTAACTATACCACAGTAGTGTGTGGATCCTGTGTTTACATGCTCAAAGGAAGGTGATTCTGATCTAACAAGTGATGAAATGGGAGCAGAAGTCTGTGAGCCCATGTAGAACATGTTAATGAACAGGAGGGCATAACACCTCATCCTCAAAGGCTCAGTTATGTTATCTGTTCTTTCCGTGATAATGATCAGAGCCAAGACAGGCAGTCAGAGTCAGGCATGGAGCTGAGGATAAGGAGATCAAGGTGGGGTCTGCTGAGAACTGGGTCCTGGGAAAAGAGCTCCGATAGAACTTAGAGAAGGACTCCCTTCTCTTCTAGGGAGATAAAGATGGTATCTGTAATGCACTGGAATTTCAATGTTGAAGATCAATTTTCTATTTGTTTGGACAAGAGATTTTGAGGTTTTTGGCATGTTGCTTTGGTTAGATTAAAGGTGATCTGATAAAATAAGTGAGTCAAGCATTCATAACCCCTAAATTCTTATATTCTAGTAAATTCCTTCTGTCCATTTATTGAGTGCTCCTCCTCTTCTTCCAGTAACTACTGCCCCTACCCCCTTTCTCATTATCCTGACAGTTTCCTTATGCACATTCACAGACACAGCAATAGATTTACATCCTCTACTTTTACAGCAAAGGTAATAAAATCCACACATAGTTCTATGCCTCCACCTATTAACATGTCTTGTAAACTAAACGATCATTTGCATATTCCAGAAATGGAGAGGAGGGCAGGTAGAACCACTGGAGACTGGAGATGATGTAAGCAAGCTGACTGTCAGAGGATGGTCTGTAGGACATGCTAAAGAGATTCAGAGGCAGGAAGGTGTGCCAGGAACAGTTAGCTCACTTTGCACTCAAACTCAATCTTCTGGCTCAGGTAGATGAGCTCCTCTGTCCGCCGCATCCTCTGCACGTTGTTGTTGCAGTCTCGGATCAGCTGAGAATGGAGTAGGGTAAAGGAAGGGGAAGATCACAGTGTTAGAGTCTTGAGCTGTAAGTCCCAGTCAAGCAATCTGAGAAGATACCTGCAAACCTCGGTCTTTTCGACCAGGCTGGAGCTGAATGAACAGCATCAAATTCATGTTTTAGATTGCTGAACTACTTTACATGATCTGAGGGAACATACTGAGGGACTGTGGTATTGGGACTGTGGTATAGTTGCTAGACATGGAATGTGAAGAAACAAGTTTAGTGCATGCAAGGAGGTGGCTGAGCTCTCCTCTTAATAGTGTCCCATGTCCCATCCTTTCTTCAGTCATGAGTACCAGGGGAAGGAGTATTATAGGTTATTGGATGTGATGGCTGCCTACCTTCTCCAGGGCATGGTGTGCCTTTGTGGCCTCTGCCTCTTCTGAGGAGCCAGGCTGGGTTCTCTTCAGAATGTTCTGTAGAACAAATAGTGGACAAGAGCCAGATGGGAGGAAGAGTGGATAAACAGGAAGAGATAACGATGGGGGGGGGGTGGGGTAGTGGATATCTGATGCAGAAGTCAGGGACACAGATCCAAAAGCAAAGATTTCTGAGAAAGAAACTGTGGGAAGTTGTGAAACCGCTCACATCCTCCACATGATGTGGAAACTTCACAGAAGAATGGATGATCTTTTGCCTCCAAACCTCCCAAGATCATGTCTTTGAGTCAAGCAAATTGGACTAAAGAAGTATCTGCCATACCTGGAGTAGCAACTTAAGACGGGTGATACGCTGGAAGGGCAGTATCAGAAAGGACTTGAGAGACAGGCGTTGGCAGATGGGGTCACTCTCCAGCTTCTCCAAGACCTCTCGGAAACTGCTGTTGCTATTCCTATACGAGTAGCAAAACTCGGGGTGAGGAGGGAGATGGGGAGTAAAGGGGGCTCAGTGAAGGCCTGGGGAATGGAAGTCCAGTGTAGGATCTGGAATTGGTAAAGAATGGAAAGAGCCTATGTACAGGGTCCAGATATGACTGCAGGGACAATCTGAGATGGAGAGTGGGATGAGACTTCAGCTGACACAGTAGGCAAAAGAACAAGTACTCTGGGGACAGCACTCTGGGCTAGGGACTAAGTCAAGGTCACGGCAATGTCCACTAAGGGAATGGACAGGGATCATTCTCACATTAGGCTTTGGAAGGTGCGTTCCTGATAGGTCTGGTTGGTGACATAAGGCAGGTAGACTCGGCGGAACTCTGGGGCATGATTCAAGACAACATCACACACTTGGAAGGAGAAGATGTTGTTCTCGAAGTTCTCTTCTAGGTCGGAAAGGAACCTGCACAGTATTTAAACAGTCTCATGAGGCACAGGGGCCTCAGCTCAGCATGCTTCAACCCTGTATATTCTGAGCATGCAACTTCTGTTTCCATGAATCACTAACTTCTACTGACTGTCCTTAGCTCTGAGCCCTTGTTATGCAGTACATCCTCCCCCAGGTTGTTACTAGTTTATTCCTGATTTAATTTAAATAATATTCTATTTCTTTTTCTTCTTTTATTCTATTCTGGTTTGCCCGTCTTTCAGTGATTTTTTAAAAAAGATTTATTTATTTATTTATTTATTTATTTAATGTATGTGAGTGCTCTATCTGCATGTACACCTTTATGCCAGAAGAGGGCATCAGATCCCACTACAGAGCCACCATGTGGTTTCTGGGATTTGAACTCAGGACCTCTGGAAGAGCAGTCAGTGCTCTTAACTGGTGAGCCATCTCACCAGCCCCCTCTTCCAGTGATTTTTATACCTTGTGTCCACTGCAGTTCACACCCAGAATGTATGTAAAACCTTGATCCAGGAAGCACATCTCACTCATCTATTAATAGATGTGAATCCTCACACTCTTGCCTCTTCTTAGTTCTTTCTACCCTGCTTCCTTGGAGGGAGCCCAGGCCCACCTTCATACAGAGACTGACAAAGAGAAGTTGTCTATGAGGGAGGAAAGAAGCTGAAGATTCAATGGCTAAGGACAGCGAGGTTGAGAAGATGGAGTTTGGAAGAAGTCTCACGTGGTGCTGACATCTCGCACATCCTGTAGACGGGAGAAGAGCCACTGGTGATCCTGGGTGGACAGTGTGGCGCGAAGTTGAGCTGAATGTTGGAAATGATCCACAGCTATGTTTAGACTTCGAAGGTAAGACGCCTCTGACACGATCAGCTCAAATTTGGCCTAGAGGGTTGGACAAGAGGAAGATTTATGAATTTAGCAAGTGTGGAAAAGACTAGAAGAGGTAGGAGCAATGTTGGGAAAGGGTACCATGTCTAGTTGGGAGATGAAGGCCTGCCAGTCCTAGGCATGTTAGAAGTAGAAGAGACATAGACTGCTCTAAGCATCAAGCAGGCAGACTTGGAAAACTTGATTTGCTAGAACTGGGGTGTACGGAGGAGGAGCCAAAGCCAGCACCTTGCTTTTCAGTTGGGTAGTGGGTTGGATGATGGAATCGTTGATGAAGCCACAGTGCTCATAGTAGGAAAAGACTTAGGGAGGAAGGTGACAAGCTCAATTTGAGGTCTGAGGAGAAATGGAAATGGAAAGAAGAAGGATATGTGAGAAAAGTTTTAGTTTAAAATGGAAACCAAGCACTTAAGAATGTGTGTGGAGGCTCCAGCAGGCGAGCGCAATGACCCAGACATGACCAGTGGACTCCTTTCCCTTCTCAGCATGGAGCTGCAGTAAGGCCACTTGGATGAAGAGAAAGACAGACATTCATTGCTGATCACCGAGATAGCCAACCACACAGGGACTTTCTATACAACCCCGAACCATGACACCGTACATTTAGTCTCAACATTCAAAGACCATATGGCTTAAGGTGGCTCATTTAAGCTTCTCAAACTTAAGGGTATTTGTTGTTGTTTTGTTCTTTTACATAGATATAATGAACCCCTCCCCAAACACACACACACACACACACACACACACACACACACACACACACACACACACTTCAGAGAACATGATTGGTAAAAGGAATGGAGTCTGTGAAGGAACTTTGTAGGCTCCCAAGATGTTAGTTCATGACCTGAGTGTGTATGTATGAGCAAGTGATGCAGAGGCCTCCCTCCCATCTCAGAGTCAACAGGAATGGGGGCTGGAGTCTAGACCCTGTGACTCCCTAGCTTCCTAAAGATTCAGGGAGAGGGGGCTAGAGTTCATTTCATCTTCCCATTATTTGATGGGAAGAAATAAAAACAGAACAGGTTAGTGATTTTTCTCAGCGCATGTGTTTTGAAACTTGCAGTGAAATTATATAGCTTGGCTAAGGTTATCCAGCTAGTACATGAAGCCAGGTTTGTATCATCAAAATTCAAATAGTCATATTTTTCTGACTGATGATTCTGTAGTAACCATTTATCTTTTTTCCCCCCAGTAACTCTTTGTATCTGTTTTACAAATGGGAAACAATATCTTAGAGAAAGCAAGGGATTTGGCCAAATCAAGCAACATACAGTAATGAAGGCTTCATGTCTAGAACATCTGTTGTGGAACCCAGTTACTCAGATATTACTCTATCCCACTGTGCCCTACTTTCTCCCTGGGAAGAAAGGTTCTACCTCTTATTACAGACAGATCTGAAAGCAGAAACTGCTTATGGAAAACTTACTAATGGTCCCAGCTTAGAACCAGACAAGCATTGTCTCCCTCAGTCTTGATACTGGGCGTGATGACCAAGCAGGGCCAGTGAGATCAAAAGAACCAAAGGACAAGAAGTTGTCCTCTTCAAAGGAGCCAGCACAAAGACTGAGCGTGGGGCTTGTCTGAAATACTTGTAGAAGTGGTAGGGAGATTATAGCTCATCATGAAGCATCAGTGATGAAGTTACTTTCACATCCCTCCCAACGAATTCAGAGGTACGTAGGAGCCCGCCCAAGCCAGTACAGGCAAGAGTAGATGGCACATGCATGAATGTGGGAAGTGAGCTGAGGGCTCAAACTCTGAGGGCAGTTCACATTCTTCAGCATGGTGGTGAGCATGTGTATACAGGGGACTATGGGGTAGGGACAGCCTGCTCTTGGTGGCAAAGGTGAGGAGGAGAGAAAACATTAGCAAATATGACTTTGTTCCCCCTCCTCTTCCCTGCCCTGCCCTGGGTGGTACCTCTTGCAGTTTTTGATCTTCATGGGTCATGGAGAGCAGCACTGTGCTGTTGCGCACCATAGGGATTTCCTGCCAGAGGGAGCCACTGGAGGCCATGGAGAGGCGCTGTAGGTAGGAGTCTGAAGACACCATTGCCTTTCGACGATGCCGAGGGGAAGAGAGTCCAGGTGCCTCCGCTAGGCTGTTCAGCCGCTGCTGGCTCTGAATCTCCTTGTTCAGAACAACATCACTGTACTCCTGATAAAGTAGCTGGGCTATGGGTGAGGATTCATGAGTGAAGAAGAAAACCTTAAGAAGATGAAGTGAGTGGAAGCCCACAGCCAGAAATGGCCATCTATGGCTGACCTCCGGCAACCCTTACTTCTGGACACCACCACTCTATAGCTGGCAGTCATGAGTCCCTGTCCCACTCCAGGCAGAAAGCATAAGCCTAGAGATCTGTTTCAAGTACTCACAGGAGTTGATGAGCTTGGAGCAGCGTCTTGAAAAGCCCCCTCTCCCCTCCTTCGGTTTCTTCTCCCTGTGGAGTAGGGAGGCTTTGGGGTGCTTGCTGACCATGAGACAGAAGACCCCCAAGTGACTTTAGAGGAAGAAATCTCTAATCCTCTGGACACAGGCTGGGATGTCAGGACCAAGGGAACAGTGGCTTCAATCGGTCCCCATCATCAATCTTTCTATTCAACCCCTCTCCCTTACCTCGAAGTCCAGAGAAGATCCTGAGGACTTGGGGAAAACTTATAAATTCTTAGAAAAATGGGCCAAGTCAAACAATAGCCCCAGATGTGGAAGGAGACTGGTTTCTAGCCATGTGCTTGAGGAGGACAGTAGACCCAGACACGGTAGGCAGAACTGGGATGATCCAGACACTGCCCTTTCCGACAGTCCTGATACCTTTCTCTTCCTCTCCTGACTTTCTGAAGATAGAGGCACCAGGAATTCTGGGTCACTGAAGTCCTACTAAGGGAATCTTTTTTTTTTCTTTCTTAAGATTTTTATTTATTTATTAGGTATACAGTGTTCTGCCTGCAAGTATCCCTGCAGGCCCAAAGAGGGCACCAGATCTCATTACAGATGGTTTTCAGCCACCATGTGGTTGCTGGGAATTGAACTCAGGACCTTTGGAAGAAGAGCCAGTGCTCTTAACCTCTGAGCCATCTCTCCAGCCCCTACTAAGGGAATCTTAAGAGTCATAAATGAAGACCATAGAGTTGAGTTTGTGAGGAGCCAGGGCAACTCACCGGAAAACCACAGCATCTGAAGAGCCAGGAGGTCTTCCCGTGCTTGGATTTCTTAAATCTGAAGAGGGAAATGGGTGACATAACGGGCATTTAGAGACAGTGAAAGGATGAGCAGGGGTCACAGATGAGCAGAGGGAAGACAGCTTTACTAGAATCTGGAAGAGAAGACAGCACTAAAGGCAGAGGAATTCTGGGAGTCCAGCACCCTGGGTCCCTGGCCCTCATTCAGGATAGAAGACTGGTATCAGCTGTGCCCCCAGCCTTCACACAGATGGGAAGTGCACAAAGAAAAGGTGCCTTAAGTTCTTCAAGACAGGGAGCAAGAAGGTGTCGCCAGGGAGGGAGTCTGCAACTTCAGGCTGAGGTGGACTTCAGAGGAAGCCAGAGATGGAAAGGTAGAAAGGGAGGAAGAACATTCTGATGGGATCACGGGGTCATGAGTTTCTGAGTTGATGTAAATATGCAGGTGAGGGAAGCTGCAGAGAGCAGGCGAGACCCCGGAGAATGGAAGAAAAGCTGAGCCTAACACCGATCTCCCTGCACTCTCTGCTCCCCACTCACCTGCAGAGCTCTCGGGCAACAGAGAAGGTCTCCGCAGGCCTTGCCGGTTCCAGCCCTTGTGCTTGTTGGAGGCCTGGCCCCCAGCCTGTTCACTGCCACTCTCTGTTCTCGCTGGGTCCTGCCTGTGGGGCCAGCTGCATGCCTTCTCCAGTTGCTGGTGGATGGGTTTTTCTGACTGCTTTTTTGGTCCCAAAGCTGACCTCCGTGTGTCATTACATCCCTCCTGAGGGACTGATCTTTTAAATGATCCTCTCACTGGGGGCTCAGACTCTTCGGTGAGCTCCGACTCATCCTTATTGGTACGTCTCTGAAGTTCCGGGATACAGGGAGTGGTAGGGGAAGAGGGATTTAGGAGGTTTATCATGTTGCTGAAAGCCAGGCCAGGGGACACTTCACTAACATTCCCACTGGTGGGAACCAACGATTCTGTTGATCTGCCTGTAGCCGGGGGCCAAGAGGTCCGTCCAACAGAGAGTGTGGAGACTGTCCAGTCTTGGCCAGTGGGTCTTGGTTTGGCTTGACCCCCTGAATGTATAACTCCCCCCTGGATACTCCTGCTTCTCTCCCTGGATTTTGGTGGTAATGGGGGTGGTTCAGAGGAAGGGACTTGGGGTGGAGGGACTTGGGATGGAGAGACTTGGGATGGAGGGACTGCGGGTGGAGGGACTGGGGGTAGAGGCCTGTACATCTTTGGTACACTAGAGGGAGAGAGGGGAGAATGGCAGAGGTCAGGCACATCGGGAGTTGGGGGTAATGGTTTGTTGTATCTCAGCCTGGAGGACATGGAGGTCTGAGTATGGTGGGGGTTTTCTGGGGTGGCTGGCAGAGGGCGGTGCTGCCTTGCCACAACAGAGTCAGGAACTAGCGAAAATGAGTCTTTAGGAGATCCAGGTAGCCCTGAACTTAGGGCCAATGGAGGAGGATGACTATATCGCTTCACTGTGGGGGCTACTACATGAAGATGGCCATCTCTCTCCACCACGGAACTGCAGCTATGTCTCTTTTCTGGGGGAGGAGGGGGCAAGGCTTCGTGTTTCCTCATATCCATGGAGACAGTGGCTAGAGAAGAAACATTCCCAGGAGAACCTACGGCAAAGGCTGAGTTCTGTGAGGAGCCCCACAGCGGACTACCATGAGGCTCGCCGGGCCTCTCTGGATTTGAAGTGAATCCTTCGGAGTCCTGTCTCAAAGCAAAGAAAGCAGCAGAGGACTCTGAGAAGACGATGCCGTCCCTACTTCTTCTGTCTCTTCGTGGGATCAGAGAGCCATAGATGGCAGGTTTGGGGGGCCTCTGTGGTAATTCCGAATGAGAGAAAGAAAAAGACTTTCCCACGGAGTCTGGAGTCTGTTCTGTCCTGTGAGAGCCTGGGAACGAGTTACTTCTTAGATGCTGGGTGGCTCCAGTGTAGCTGGCCAGAGGGCTATGAGCGTTGGCCTTGTCAGGGGTGGCACATGGGTCCTTGCGAGTTTTTGCAGGTATCGGAGGAGCCTCAAGTGCCCCACAATGAGGTGGAGTGTCAGTCGAGAGAGAGGCTGCTAGGGCGTCCTTCTGAGGAAGGACAACTGGAGGGCTAACAGGTGACAGGGTGGCAGTGATGGGGAAGACTTCAGTGGGACTGAAAGGAGCTGAATTCGGTGTCCTTGATGGAGTCATAGATACACTAGCAGAGACAACCTCGGTCCCCTGGAGGGACGCTGTCCCTTTCTTCAGTCTGAATCCTCCTTGCTGGCGGTTGTGAGTCCTATCATCAGGGGGTTCTTCAGTAGCAAAAGAGGCAGGTGGAGAAATGGGTTGGCGAGACCATTCTATTGGTTCCTGTGCAGGAGTCAGAGCTTGGGGGATCTGCTCCTTGGGAACAGGTTCCCTCTGAGCCCCAGGAATATCGGCCACAGAGCAAGAGATGTCTGGAAACAATGCTCCTGAAGAGAGAGCCTCAGGAGCTATGAGATCCACTGGAGGACAATACTTGTTGTTCTCGTCTGTTCTCTTCCCTTCCACGGCTGCCTGTCCACCCCCTTCCCCATTCCCTCGCTCCCCCTCTCCTGAGTCTACAACCTCCTCCTGGCCCTCGGCCTCCTCCTGGTCCTCAGCCTCCTCCTGGTCCTCAGCCTCCTCCTGGCCCTCAGCCTCCTCCTGGCCCTCAGCCTCCTCCTGGCCCTCAGCCTCCTCCTGGCCCTCAGCCTCCTCCTGGCCCTCAGCCTCCTCCTGGCCCTCAGCCTCCTCCTGGCCCTCAGCCTCCTCCTGGCCCTCTCCTGGCATCACTTTTTGGGTTTCATCAATATCTCCCTGTTTTCCACTCACATTCTCTGATTTCCCTACTAACCTTTGATTCTCTGTATACTGAGAGTCTGCCCTCTTCTCTTCCACCTCTCTTAATTCCCTGTCCCATCCCTCCTCTTCTGAATCTCTCTGACCCTGAACCCAACTATCCCTGTCCTCTTGACCCCACTCACTGTAATCCAGAGCCTCCAATTCCCCACTGAGTCCCTTACTGCCCCTCTGTCCTCCGAGCATTGTATGGTTTTGGACTCGTTCCTGTTCTTCCTCACTGCCACTAACCTCCTCTTCCTCATCTTCCCAATCCCCCGGAAGCCCATCAGAACAAATGTCTCCCCTCAGAGTTCCTTCCTCCTGAATTTTGACTGCCTGCCCCTCGAGTCCCTGGGCCTCCTGAGGTTGGAGGAGGCCTTCTTGACCTTGCTCTTCTTGTGTGGCCTCCATCTGCAGCTGTTTCCACTGCCTGACCAGTCCACTTCCATGGCCCTCAGACTGGTCTGTCTCACCAGGGTGCTTTTTGCAGGGAGGCCAAAATCCTCTAGGGTTCGAAGGGTCTGGAGAGGTTTCTTTCTCTTCTTTTGCTTTGCTAATAGCCAATGTCAAAGACATGAGTTCTGGCTGCAATTCTAGCTCCACTGTGCTGTCTAGTTTGCTGGATTTGTCTAGCCACTCCTCCCCAACAGCACAGGCCAAGAGCTCAGGGACAGCTATTGTTCTTGATAGACTGTCTTTAAGGGTCTGGGATACTGCTTCCAGTGGGTCTGGAGTGTGGAAGGCCTCAGCCACAAGGATTTCCTGGTTGGTCTCCACAACTGAAGAAACTTCCTTTAAGAAAAATCCCATACTATCAGGTGTGTGGTCACTCATGTCCCTTAACTCCTGTGGCTGGCCCATCAGGGGTCTGTGTCCATCTGCCCACTTGTAGGATGGGTCTTGGCCTTCTTGAGCTTCAGGCTCAAGGGCAGGGATCTGACTGCTCCTCATGATAGCTTCAGGGATAGCTTTCGATTCCTCTGTGTCAGGGATGGGTGCAGGTGCTCCATGTTCAGGCTGCTCAGCCTCCATCAGGGCTGAATCCTAAAGAAGAATACAAAACAAAAGTTTCCAATGCCTTGTTCGTCTGTGTCTGTGTCCAAAGGGAGAGATCAGGAAGATGAAAGGGAGACTTCTTTACTTCTATTCAGGGTCATTCTTCAAGACAAGTATTCAATCAAATAAGCACTAGCCTTTCTATGTCTCGCTCAACTTTATTTATTTTTAAATTAAACTAGCTACACTTTCTTTTTCCTTTTTAAAGATTTTTTAAAAATTTATTTTTATTTATACATTATCTATATGTACACACAGTGCCCACAGAGTCCACGAGAGGGCAACAGATCCCCTGGAACTGGAGTTACAGGTAACGGTGAGCCATTAATATGGGTTCTAGGAACTGAACCCTGGTCCTCTGAAAGAGCAGCAAGTGTTCTTAACTGTTAAGCCAGCTCTGTAGTTCCCAAGGGACTTAGAGCGACTAGGGAGATGGTTCATTTGGTAAGTGTAATAAAGACTTACCTAGAGGGAATGGGAAGATGGCTCAGTTGCCATACAAACATAAGGACCCTAGCATACACATAAAAATGCCAGGAGTAGAAAAGTGTGTCTATAACCCTAACATGTGTACGGGTGGTCAGGGATAATGGATCTCGAGTTTGTTGGTCAGCCAGCTAGTCAATCAATGAGTACCAGTTCAGTGAGAGCTTGTCTCAAAAGATAAGGTGGAGAGCCTTCAAGGCACACACACACACACAATTTACCTAGTGACCCTTTTAAGTGTAGTGACCAAGACAAAGCTCCTGGTGGGTCTTGTAGTCTTGTGGGAAAAACCAATTACAAGCAATTCGATTAGCATGAAAGACCATTGTCAAAGAGTCCCAGGAACTGCCAGTGGTCATTGCCCTCTAAATTCTATTATGCCATTGTCTAGTCCTCCCTGTCAACTCTCTGGACTCCCAGTGTGACTCAGTCTGGAATAACTATCAGACATGAGGGCTGACACACCCTACATCTAAGAGCCCAGAGAAGCAGTGTCAGGAGTGCAGCCATGCTCCAGAGCCGCTGACATAGGATTAAAGTAGGTCAAGCTGTTATAGTCAACGTGCAACAGATGAGTCCTTTTCACAACGTCTGGATTGTACTCGTCTTCCTATTTTCACAGTGTCGAGCAGTGCTTTATAACTAATGAACAATTTTGTTTTCAATTAGGGAGACAGCTGCTGTAAAACGGAAAGGCAATCCCGCTCACTCTCTTCAGTGTGGCTCGTAAAGTTGCGCTACCTTCATTACGATACTCTTTCTCTCTAACCACGCTAACTCCTCTCACTCCTCCCAACATTGTGACTCTCTACTCTGTCTTTCCCCCTTCCAAAAGAACACCTCATATCCTATTTTGCAAAACGCTCAGAAAACGATAGAGAGATGCCACCTTAATTTACTGCAGTTCACAGCAGCCTGCATGTCCACTCTCCATCCTCCCTCTTTTCCTTAGCCTGTCTCCTCCAGGCCTGTGTGCCATGGACTATCGCTTTAACCACTCTAACCGTGTCTGAGCTGTCCCAGGCACCCTTCTTCTTCCGACTATGTGCTGTCTTCCCAGCCTCACATCCCACCCACTCCACCCAGTTTCAATAGGTGCCATCCTGCCAGTGCCCCTGCATCACCACTTTTGCTGGTGGTTGTGACTCACAAGGACTTTTCCTTCCTGGTGTACAGGCCAGTATGCTGTCATGACTTCGGCTCTGGGTTTCCACTTCCTCAAATGGGTTAAACTACATTTCTCTTTCATGTAATTAAAAATTGTAACTCGCTGGGCAGTGATGGTGCACGTCTTTAATCCTAGCACAAGGGAGGCAGAGGCAGGTGGATCTCTGTGAGTTTGAGGCCAGCCTGGGCTACAGAGTGAGTTCCAGTACAGGCACCAAAACTACACAGAGAAACCCTGTCTCGAAAAACAAAACAAAACAAAACAAAACCAAATTGTAACTCACTTCACTTCTCCCTTTTATTGAAATTTATACCATTTCAATTATATAGTTATGTGATCTGATTTAATCTCAATTTCAACCAACAAATGACAAGCTGTGGGAGACGTGTCTTGTTCAATTACCTACATCGAGCACAACCATAGGCCCATAGTAAGTGCTCAATAAATATTTTAAATCTAAAGAATAAATCTCTTGTTTCCCTCCTGGCCAAGAGTTTCCATATCATGCTCATACATCTTTGTACCTGGAGCACAGCCTAACCTCAGCCTCCACACATACAGTTCATTTTCCACACAAAATACCATTTGTAGTAGTTTAAAGTCTCTGGTATCTTTTCAGTAGTCCTGAGATTAACCCCCAAAATTCAGAAAAGATCATACACGCCTTACAATCTAACCTTTGCCTTCCCTTTTCAGTACCTGCCTCTCCCCTCAGGTCTCAACCCCTTTTCTCTCAGCTATGGGCTTTCATATGTGGTGCTCCTCTGCTGGAATCTGGTCCCAAAGAATTCTTTGCTTCTCCACTAACACACACTGAATTTGTCTAGCATTTTGAGCTGTATCAGGATCTCCATAACTGTGCACTCTCCTTCACCTAAAGTTTTATGGTCCTTGGGAAAGATGTACAGTTAAAAGGGTATGCTTCAATTTTTCATTTCTGCCTTTTTGACTCTTTGCTGGTTTTTAAGTCAACTGTAGAAATCATTTAATATATTTGAATATCCTTTTCCTCATCTATAAGAGATGAGAAAAATTGCTTCCTTCACAGTTCTAATGAAGATTAACTAACACAATACAAAAAAGTTCACTTATCTTTGAAAGTCATAGAAATTGCTGGTATTACTGCTCTGAGAGACTGAATATGTGCAGGAAAGAAACAGAAAATTGTGAGCTATAGAGGCCTTCCTAGAAACACAAGACTGCTCAGTTTGCAGACAGCAAAGCTCAAGTTCTAAGACTCCATTTCCTAAGCAAATGATAGAAATAATTGGAAATGAAGACTCCTGTCTACTGCAAGAACCCACTCATCCAGCTACAACACAAGAGAGGCCCCTGTGGGCCTGTGGGTCCCTCAGTGCACCCAGCTGTGCAGCTTTCCGGGCTACTCCAGGCTTAAACCCACTCATGAAACTGCCTTTTGTCGTCATGCAGAGTGGCTATGTACGTGTACACACACACACACACACACACACACACACACACACACACACCCCACAGTGACTTACCTACCCTTGCAGTCTCTATGCAAGAGATCTGACATAAACAAACAGACAAGTCCCTAGACACCTTGCAGATAGAGTATGTGACAAGCTCCTGGTCACCTCACAGATGCAGATATTATCTATATAGGGCAAGTAGATATGATTAACATAAATGCACCTCAGCTGAAGGATTTTTATGTCCTTTTCCAGTTAACTGGCAGTGTGTGAGTTGCTCTATTTAGCCCTTAAATATGAAATACACAAATGATATGTAATTTGACCTTATTCTCTCAGCCACATGTTAAAGAACACATTTGTTCACTGACACCTTCTGAAACCTGCTCCTACCTGCCTCAGAAAACAAAGTGACAAACCCTGTTATCTCTCCCCACCAGCATCTGTATTGTCTGAATCCCTATCTCTGAACATCACCATACCGTAAAAAAAGGACTCCCTGCATTTTTAAATGAGTTCCTGCCATAGCCACACTTCATCCACATATACTATGTGCTATGTAGCTATTTTCAGTCCTGATCTAAGGACACAATGAATGTCTCTGCAATGTCTTTATCTTTTCAGAAACACCGTAGTTTCAGGGCACTGATGGTGCACGCCTTTAATCTCAGCACTCCAGAGGCAGAGGCAGGTTGATTACTGTTGAGTTCAAGACCAGCCTGGTTTACAGAGCAAGTTCCAAAATAGTTAGGACTACACAGAGAAGTCCTGTCTCAGAAAAGGAAAGAAAGAAAGAAAGAAAGAAAGAAAGAAAGAAAGAAAGAAAGAAAGAAAGAAAGAAAGAAAGAAAGAAAGAAAGAAAGAAGAAAGAAAAAGAAAGGAAGGAAGGAAGGAAGAAAAGTAATATGGGAGTCACCTGTTTATACACCATTCATCCCAAAGTTAGCACATATCCTTAGTTTCGATAGTTAATTCTACCTTAATAATCCTACACAAACAGGCATGACCCGGCTAGAATGTGGAGAAAGCTAAAGGAAATCTGTGAAACATGGTCTTACTCATATAAAGGCATTAGAATTAGAAGGGAATTTTTTTTTTTGAACTACCCGTTCCGTTAAGAGTTGAAACATTCTCATATCCTTCTCATCTGGGGTGACTAATCACTATTTATCTGCACACAGGCAGAGACAGGGCATAGCATCACAGGAAACTGGCTTCTATCCAGACCAGAGACATTTAGCATCTTCAAGACCCCAAGGTGTGCACTTGTTAGGAGACAAAGCTCCAAGTCACCCCATTAACAGTATAGAACACAGCAGACCTCCACAGTTGTCCCCCCCCCCCCCACATCCCTTCCCAACACCTTAGCTCTTGTCCATTTCTAATCACCAGGTACAAAATGATTTCAAAGATAATTGCTTCTGCATTTACAATGGCATTTATACGTCTGCTTACAGTAGGAAAACAAATCTCCCACCTTCAATCCAAAAGATACCCTCTTATTTTCATTTGGCACATACGATCACTGCACAGACATGTAACTTGATTCAGAGTTTGACATCACTGCCCTCAATATTCCAAAGACATCAAAATAAGGGTAGTATGACACCACTGCTAAGACCTGTCCCACCAACCCGGTGAAGGACAGAATAAACAACGTTTATTTACTCTCTGATGTTCTAAAACATCATCGATTGCCTCAGAGGGCAGATGTTCTTATATAAGAACATCCTAAATGAGGATGCTTATGTCCTCAGGCCCACCTGTGGCCATGGGGCCATCCACTCAGGTAAGGTATGACTTGTTTATCCTGGGTGACACTGTTTCTGTGAACTTTACAGACACTCTAAGTGGCCGGCTTATTCTATACCCATCACAAGTAGGGAGTCCTGTTCACCACGGAGGCTTCCATCACCTGTTTGTTTCTATACCACTCTGTTCAACATACCATCCCACGAGAGATCCCACTTCTGTCTACACCAGAGTAAGTGACTATTCCAGACACCACAAATGACGTCTTCTTGTCTATCCCAAAGACAGACAAGTGCATAATGTGACCACAGACAACCTCAGACAAATCACATTATGGACAGCCATACCCTCTAGGGAGCCCTGATATATGAAAACTTTGGCTATATCTGGAATTTCTGTATTCTTTTGAAACGAGGGATCCCTTTACATTCCTTCTGACTTCTCCCTCCCAATGCTTACATTCCTCTTTGACCACAGTCACAGAATTTACACCCCGGTCCCCTGCCCAGCTCCTCCCCTCCTCCCCCACGTCCTTTCAGTGTTCACAGTTTCAGTCTTAGGCCTGAGGACTGGTTAACAAATGATGACTGTTTTGATAGAGCCCAGAGCTTCCATACCCCAGGTGTAGATAAAGCAGGAAGTCTGGGAAGAGGCCACACTGGGGGGTTGTTTCTCTGGGACTTGGTGCTTTTGAAGTAAAGCTGGGAGCACAGTAGGGGGGGCAAGGGAGGGAGGAAGCTGGAAGGAAAACCACCCTCTCACCCTCTTTCTGTTTGGTGTGCGCTGCTCCCCCCGCTCCCGGTCTGACCTAGTGCTGGCCAGAGTTCACTGCTAGGCCGATAGGAGGACAAGACTGTCTGTCCTGAGAACCCAAGATCCAGGAATGGGGGGGGGGGGGGGGGGGGGGACGGAGACTTGAAAACTGAGGCCCCAGGATTAACTCTCCCGGGCCAGTTGTGCCAAAAGGCTTTTTATAAAAGATGTTCACAACTAGGGCTCTGAAAATGGGCTCCTGCACCCGCAATCTGGCTGGCTGCTCTAAACAGCTCTTTTACACCTTTCTAAGAACCTTATTTTACCGAGGCCAACAAGAAGCTCCCTATAGACAGGTAAATAGGGGAGAGGGAACTCAGAGCATAGATCCCTGTGCCAGATTTCAGAGCCTTGGTTAACAGCGGAGAGAGGTGTGTACACAGATTCACACATACGTATGCATGGAAATGCCGTGAAGATAAGGAAGCAAGGCCCAGGCCTGGTTCCAAAAGAAAAAAAAAAAAAAGGAGACAATAACACTTCCAGGTAAGGGGCAGTCTAGAAATTGAAACTCGAGAATTCCCTATCCTAGGAGTTAGTTTTCCCCAGGCCTCCGACTTTGTGGGTGGGGAAAAAAAAGTTCTGGTTATTGGCCCGGGAACCTCGCGGGGCAGGGTGCCCATTTCCAAGACGCAGACCTGGCTGGGAAGCCAACTTTTCCAAGAGGCCATTCCTTCCGGCTCCCTTCCTCGTCCCCACCAGGTACTCAGCCCCTCACTCGGAGCCCGGCCCCCTGGCCCAGCCCCCCATTTCCGGAGCCTGCGCCCCGGGACCTGGCAGGGACCGGTCCCCGGGGAGGCCTAGTTCTCGCTTCTTTCCCGCCCCGGCCTCACTCCCGCCGGGCGCCACGGCCACCCGGGGCCCGGGGCCGAGGCGAGAGGAGGACACCCACCTGGTCGGAGTCACATGCTGCCCGGGACCGGCCCGAGAGTCCCCTCCAGGTCCGGGCGCCCGCCGCGGTCCCCAGCCAGGCCAGGCCGCCCCGGCGCCCCACCCGCGGCCCGCCCCTGCCGCCGCCGCCGCCGGACGGGAGGGAGGGAGGGACCGGCTTCTCCTAAGGAAGTTTCAGGTGAGGAAACAGGGACACACCTTCCCGGGGGAGGGGCAGCTCCGAGCCGAGCTGGGAAGTGCGGGCTCGGCACGGCGGCGAGGGCGGACCGACGGCACCCGCAGGCCGCGGCCGTCCAGGGCCGGAGCCCCCCGGCCGCAGCCACTCGGGGAGCCGCATCCGAGAGCCGGGCACGGGATCCCCCCGGTGTCTCCCGTGCCCCTGGACGCCCCTCTGTGTCTCTTCCCCCGTGGGTCCTCTTCAGGCCTCCAACGGACCCGGTTGACTTTCTGGCCCTGGAGTTTGTCTTCGGCTTGCTGATGTTTCGGGACATCTGAGATTCGTGTTGTCCGTGTGTCTTTACTTTCAGGATGCAATGCAGTTTTCTCTTCCTTGGTGTTTGGCATAAGATAAAGGGTGTCTCTTGCCCAAGTTTTTCTGCCTGTGTCTCTGTGCCTCTTTCCCTCTCTCCCTTTATTGGGTGCCTGTGAAACATGCTTTTATCTGTTCTGTAGATACCCTGTTTGCGTCCATATTCTTAAGTTCATTTTAAGATCTTATGTCCAGTTTATGATCCTTCTCTGTTCTTTGCAGTGTGTGTTTGTTTATGCATAATTCTTAAGCCTATGTCTTTGGTGTGTTCACACACACACACACACACACACACACACACACACTCCCTTACCTAAAGGACAGGGACTTTGGATGTTCTAAGCATAGGCTCTCTCCCCAAACCCACTCATTACTCTGGGAGGTTCCACAGTAACATGTGTCCAGGAGAATCTTAACGGGCTCTTTGGCTATTTTGCTTTCAGGAACGCTGTGGCCCACAATGCCAAACAGTTTCGTGGATAGACTGTTCCCCGATCCCTGTGTCGGCTGGCTGCTCCACTGATCGTGGCACAAAGAAGAGGCTAAGCAGTTGTATGGGAGGCCCTGTGGAATAAAACTTGATCGAGGAAGAATGGCCTCCTCTCTGATAGTCCTGAAGCAATACTGTATTCCAAAAAAAAAAAAAAAAAAAAAAAAAAAAAAAAAGTCCTAGTTCCGTCATGCTCCTTTGAGGGATTAAATTTTAAACTGTTAGCTAGCTTTGACACACTCTCAATTGTCATGAAAAACACAGGAAGTAACAGGAAATGCCAAGACTAGGATTCAGCCATATAAGGGCAGGCCAGCATGCTTCATAAACCCAGCACAGGCCTGAGAACTAGGAGTGAAGTGAATCAGAAAATTAAAGCTGCCTGAAAAGTTTAAACTCCTTCTAGCCTGGGAGAGAGAACTCCAGCGATCAGAACGTCCTGATCTCTTATTGGTGGACAGGTTTTGTCAACTTCTGATCTAGAAGTTGCTGGTCTCTGACAGCTTCCATAATGCTGCTTGGGATTAGCCGGTGGGGACAGGGATGGGGTATTCATTTGGCTGCTCTTGGCTCTCCTTGGTATGAGCTTGCTTTCCCTGTTTTCTCTGGGTTTCACACAGGAACCTCCTCACATTTGCTGATTCGGAGCAAATTCTTAGTATTTTTGTTCTTTAAGTCTCTACCCTTGCTTCTCTGCTCTCTGGCTCCTGTCCCAAGTTAAAGGGGAATGTTGGCCTGGCTTCCCCATTGATAGTAGGCTGTAGAAAAGTTGCACTGCCCAGTTTGGATGTTTTGTCCCCTCCCTGAGCCTGCCCCTACCTTCAGGGTGTCCCTGAATATAAGACCAGTTTAGTGCTCCTCACTTTGCAGACTGAGTTTAATTATTTAGTTTATATTTTTCTTTTACCTTTCTTGGTGCCTGGACTTTGGAGTGAGGATTATCATCCTGTCCTGAGATAAAGAGACGTTTTTTGGGCTCACATTTCCTCTAAGACTCTTAGATAAGAGAGGGAATGATAGTGGAAAGAGGATGGGATATAGGTCCAGACGGATGTAGACTGGAATACTTGGATTTTACCTCGGCCACTTATTCAGCATGAAAATGTGGGGATGTTAACTTTCTGGTGCCTTACTTCAATGTTTCGATGAGTTGTTTCCAGCTCTCATTTATAGTAGCAATAGTAGCACCTCCCCTGGGTTGCTGTGGCAACTCAAGAAGGGCTCTAGAGAAATCACTTATACAAGAACGCTGTATGGGAAGGTACTGGATATGGGTTATTTTCCTTTTGTAATCTCTAAGAGGACCTGACAGTTACGAATGTGAAATGAATTTATAATAACAAGATAAGAGGAAAATGGGTTCAGAATAAAGTTAATTTTGAATGAGAGCTGTATTTGGTGCAGAAGAGTAAACAGGCTCTGGACTTTGAGGTCACTTCAATCAGAGAAAGTGCCTCTGAAATCCAGCTAGGAGTGAGGAGAGGAACAAGGAACTTCCTTGTGTAGTTCTAGATGTTAAGGCTAAATTGTTTTGCAGTAGGAATGCACTAGCTTTAAACCCTGTAGCTGCCATGGTCTTGAAGACATTCACCTGGTGTTCCCTGTTTCCACTTGGGCAGCTCTGATTCCTGCCAATCCTATACCGGCTCTTTGAATTCAGCTCACACATTCCTGCCTCTGCCTTTTGCCTGTCCATATATCCCACCTTTAAACATTTCAGACTGGAGTTGGAGTGAACTTCTTTTCTTTTTTTTTTTTTTTCTTTTCTTTTTTTTTTAAGATTTATTTATTTATTATGTATACAGTGTTCTGCCTACATGCATGCTTGCAGGCCAGATAGAGGGCGCCAAATCTCATTTCAGATGGTTGTGAGCCACCATGTGGTTGCTGGGAATTGAACTCAGGACCTCTGGAAGAACAAGCCAGTGCTCTTAACCTCTGAGCCATCTCTCCAGCCCCAAACTTCTTTTCTTAACTTGGGTGACTATGGTCTCTTGATCTCTGTTCTTTAAATCCACCCTGGCTTGGCCACTACAGTTCTTAGCTATTTTGTTAAGAGTTTGATAAATGTATTTTTTTCTTTTCTGCATTTTGGTTTTCACTTATTTGTTTTTTCAACCCTTCCCACACTGGCACTTACTCAACTTAGTGCTATCCAGGGCATATGTACTAATTAATACCTTCATTTTCCTCCCATCATCCTTTGCTCCATATGTATTCACAGACACTGGGTATACAAAGAACAAGCCTCAGTTTCCAAGGAGCTCCCCCAGTAAGCACATCAAAGCCACAGACAACAGACTATGATAGCCAACTGTGACCAAGTGCTGTGTTATGAGGATCACAATGGATACATAAAGGAGAGCAGACTTCACTGCTGGGGAAGCACAGGTGACCTAGTAGGTGAAGATATGTGATCAGAGGTGTTATAGAAAACTTGATGTGCCAGACTTTCTGGACTCCCCATGGGAGGCCTTACCCTTTCTGAGGAGTGGATGGGGGGTGGGGTGAGGGAGAGCGGGAGGAGGGGAGGAAGGGGGAACTGTGGTTGGTGTGTAAAATGAAAAAAAAATTAAAAACAAAAACAAAAAATGATTCTTTATTTGTAAAGGAATATACTGAAAAGGCAGATACACATTGGAAATAGGACATTTAGCTAGAGAAGCCTGAGTATCTTCTCATCAGGGAAGTACAAACAGTGCAAGTTAAGCTTAGGACTGGTGAAATAATGGAGAATGTTTGGGAATGGTGGTCAGGCAACCACATCAAGGAAGGCCTGTGGCCATGTTTCTACCTGGTTCAGATACTGTTCTCTGGAAATGGGCCTCCGGAGGACTGTGAGCAAGGTTACAATGTGATCAGATTAGATGTCAAGAAAGCCGCTGTTGTTGGACTGTGGAGAACAGATAGGAGTAGGTAATGAAATGGAGATGTGGGGAAGCCCATTTAATGGGTGTGGTTGGTAGTTGGTTGCACATCACAGTCTGTAGATAAAGCAGATGACACCCTGAACCAATTCTGGAGGAAGGACAAGCAAGAGAGGAAATGGAATTAAGGGTCAGTATTTACTTCTTGAAAGTAAATAATAAGTTCAGAACTGAAGAGTCGACGATGGGAAAGATAAAGTTAGCTTGCTCACATGTAAACTGGTGAGGTAGGATGGAAGACCCCGAAGTAAACCCACACGCTTATAGCCAGTTATTGCTTTATGAAAGTTGTCAGAAATAGATCGGGTGGGGGGCTGGGGGGAGGAGTCTCTTCAGCATACGATGCTGAGCAAACTGAATATCCACATGTAGAAGAATGAAAGTAGGTCTCATTCTCTCATCCTGTACAAAAATTAATTCAGTGCTGGATTAAATACCTTAACGTAAGACCCGAAACTGAATCTTCTAGAAGAAAATGAAGGTGAAGCAAATGGAGATATAGTCAGTGGACTTCAGCAACTGACTCTGATAGCATGGGAAATCATTCCGAGCATTTACAAATGGAATTACAAGAAAAAAGTGTTTGCACTACAAAGAAAATAACCACCAAATCAAAAGAGAACTACAGGATTGGAAAGATTCTTGGCCAACTATATATCAGACAAGGAATTAATATCTAGGATATATAAAGAACTGTAAAGACCAAATACCAAATCAGCCAATTAATAAATGGACTGTTTCGCTGAGTAGGACTTTCTCAAAAGAAGGATTACAAATAGCTGGTAAATATTTGAAAAAGTGTTGGACATCCTTCACCCTCAGGGAAATGCTGGTTGAAACTGCTTCGAGATGCCATGTGACTCCAGGGATGGCCGTCATTAAGCAAAGAGACAACAGCAATGCTGGGCAAGGATGTGGGAAAAGTGGAGTTCTCATATATTGTTGGTACAGCTGCTACAGATACCAGTATGGAGGCTTCTTATGAAAGTAAAAATGGAACCACCATGTGACCCAGCTGTACTTCCAGACATACACCTGCAGGTCTGAAAGGCAATATACCACAGAGGTATTTACATAGCCATGTTTTCTGCTGCACCAGTCACAGTAGCTAAAGAATAGAGCTAGCCTAGATGTCCATCAGGAAATCCATGGATGGGGCTGGAGAGGTGGCTCAGTCTCTAAGATCACTGGATGCTCTTCTGGAGGGCCTGGGTTCAATTCTGGAACTCCAGTATTAATCAGGGGCTGGAGAGATGGCTCAGCGGTTAAGAGTACTGGCTGCTCTTCCAAAGGTCCTGAGTTCAATTCCCGCAACCACATGGTGGCTCACAACCATCTGTAATGAGATCTGGTGCCCTCTTCTGGCCTGCAGCCATATATGCAGGCAGAACACTGTATACACAATAAATAAATAATTCTTTTTAAAAAATTAAAGGTATTAATCTATGCAGAAGGCTGTGTCTCCATGACTCAAACATCTCTTAGGCCCCAGCTCCCATACTGCTACACTGAGGAATTAAGTGCGAAGAGTATATCCCATATCTCCATATTTCTCGTGTTTGAAAAGAATCATATAGTAAGTGAACCAGTGAATGTTTGTTGAGTGAATAATAAATATAAAATAAATATGATATGACAAATAGTATATATTAGGATACATAAAATAATAGAATGCACAGACGAGTAGCCTCCTTTGATACTTTTATAGACACAAGAGCTTCATGGCCACATTCAAGAGCTACAGAAAAACAAAGATCCAGGAGGCAGTCTACTTCTTTACATAATGGTCTTCTTGGGTGTATTTAATTCCCCAAGGTGGCTCATCTAGTCTTAGCTGGCACCTCTGCCTGTGTTCCCTAACACTTCTCTTGAACATAGTTTTTTTGCAGTTGACAGTTGACTCCTCCAGGAATACACCTCCGACACACACACAAACACATACACACACACACACACACACACACACACACACACACACACACACACACACACATTGGGATGCCTCACAGCTAGAATAGTGTTGACACTGAAAACCTGACTGGCATGTCCTCATAGCTCTGCTGCTTCCTGAGGTACCTGTGGGCTTGCTTGTGCTCAAGAGCTTCACTCTCCCACAACAGTGAAGCAAACCTGTAGTCTTAGTGTCTGGTGATGAGCTGGCTTTGAATCACTAAGAGGAAAAGGAGAATTGGAAGTCCTACGTATACTTAGGCCTGGAGTGAGGTTGGGTGTAGCTGTAGATATTCTTGGTAACTCTAGTCAAATACAGAGACAACGCAGAAAGGAAAGCTGAGAGGTAAATATGTAACCATCTACTTAAGAGAAACAGTACTGAGTACAAGGCAAAGGCTTTCTCAGCTTGGGTTCTGCTTTCATTCCCAGCCTTCCTCTGAGTCTTTTCTCTGACTCCACATGCTCTCTCTGCTCTGGCTATCTGCTAGCCAAACCATCAATGTCATGCAGTATTTCCTTTCCTTGAGCTTCTGAGGTACTAATGCTGCTGCCCGAACTGTTCTTCCTGCCCTTTTTCTATTTGTCAGGCTCCTGGTCTTTTGCAGGATGAAGTCATGTGTTTTTCATCTCTGGAACCTTTTCTGATTTCTTTAAATGTTGTTATGATTAAGATGTATGATCAATGGAGCAGCGCTTTAATTAAGGAGGAGGAAGAGAAATAAATACAAAAGAAGGAGGGTGGAGAGTAATAACAGTAAATATGTTTGAAAAAGTCATAAGGAATTATGCTATTGACTGTTTACCTAAAAATGCCTATAATTCATGTAAATTAGCATACACACACAGTTTAGTAAAATTTTCTCATCTGGGCTAACAGTGCTTCTCCCATGAGCCATAGACTATCTGTATTGGTTTGAATAAGTATGGCACCCATAGACTCCTATGTTTGAATGCTTGGCCCATAGGGAGTGGCACTATTAGG